AACTTGTGTTCCAGTGGGTGGTGGGAGTCAAAATGCAAATATTGGTCTGTGTGGGTGGGCTTACGAGATACGTCAGTTTCCAACCGTCCTCCATCCGAAACCGAGACATCGTAATCCAGGAATGCCAACCTGCCATTTTTTTTCACAGTTAACATTACCTACCCATCTAAAGGGAGACATTCCCCATTGACTGCATAAATCGTTGGCACTGACCCATAATCTGTTAACTCCATGAGCTCTGATATCGAGTGGACATCAACATCTGGAATGTATTTATTTTTCCAAGCCCTGTCTATCAAACTAACCTGAGCCCCAGTATCTACAAGAGCAGTCACAGTTAAACRGTTGAGGAGACATTTTGTTGCCACTTTCTTTCCTATTAGCCTAACTATTGGCTCTTTGTTACTTACTGTGGCTTTGGGTGGCTTATTTCTATTCTTTTTGAATGTCTGTCTTTGGTCTTGGTTCACTTTTGCCTTGTTGCAAGATGCCGTRTTTGTGTCTGTAAGGGACTCTGGGGTTATCCCGGTTACTGCTMGTCCCCCCGCAGCAACCGGCTCTTGTGTCCCTGCTGCTTTGGATGCTTCAAGCAGCCAATTGCTCTATGACCTTCCTCGACGCATGAGAAGCAGTGGTTGCAGTTTTTGGATCCCACCTGTACACATGRAGTACATGCATAAAGTCTCCCAGTTTTAGTTGCAGCTGTCTTGTGGTGCTGCTGGAACGCTGTTTTTGCACTTTCTCAGCCAGTGAATCCACAACTTTAGTGAGCGCTTCAATCTTGTCAGCCAGTTGCTTCACTGTATCAACTTTTGGTGTTTGTTCATTAATCTCTTTCTTTGTAATCTTTGCCTTTCCTTTGTCTGCATGGGCAACATGCGCACTGACCTCTTTTGCTCGTTGTGTGGAACCTAATCTACGATGACGCTCAGATTCCTCACTGGTCACTTTCATTACATGGTTCAAGATGGTCTCATCTGTAACTGACTGATTTGCAAGCAAAGGCTTAAGCTCTCTTCTAATTTTATTGTCCTTGTGTCCTATTCCTTGTAAACTGTATGCAGAAAGACCCCTTGAACTGTTTCTGGAGTATACTTAATTTCAGACTCAGACTTCTTGGACTCAAAAAGGATTCTCTGTTTCAAGCCAATCACACGGTAAAGGAACTGTTGTGCTGTCTCATTGTCCTTCTGTTTTGCACAMATCAACTCTTGGAACAGCTCTGTGCTATTCCGTTCTCCGAGGTGTGACTGCAGAAATCCCTTTAACTCAGCAACTGTCATATCATCTTTGTTAACTGACATGTCCTTGAAATCTCCTGYTTTGATGATTTTTAACACACACCTTACAATCTCAGATTCTGTGAAATTGTCCTTTACACCCTCCTCTATCTGCCTGCACACACTGTTGTAGCTGATATCTGATGTGTGATCTCCTATTTGGCCTCCTTGAACCTTAAACTCACATCTTGGAAGATAAGATAGGTCTCTGAGGGAAACAACTGGGCTGGGAGGAGCTCTAGCACTCCCTTGTGGGGTCGAAGTTCTTGAGCTTGTATTGCAGGGGTTTTCACTAAGTCTTTCAGTGTTTTACTAACCCTCTCATAGTCTGAAATCATTTTGAGGACTTCTTCTTGTAAGATGTTAGGGCCTGTGTTTATTAATATTTGATCTGTATTGGACTGGCTGATCTCCAGAGATGGGGTTGGGGCATGGTCTGGTGTTGATYTTTCTGCATTTGTTTCCACAGCACCAGTTGGACTGTTGGTGGGGTGTAGAAAGTCATCTACTATGTCCTTTAGTGCTAACAATTCCCCCATCCCACTGTCTTCAGCTCCCAACATTTCATCACTGTACATGAATGAGTTGATGTACTCGAAGCTTCCTTCTGCATCCTCACATGACAGCTTTGAGGGATCCTTGCCTGTTACTGAACCCACTTTAGATGCAATTTGAAAGAGTTGATCTGACGTCAGTGTAAACAGGCCCTTCCTGATGTCCCACACCAGGCTCTTCCTTTCACTGTCAGCCATGATGTCCTCCTCGATACTCTACGATGGGTAACTCAATGTTGGATCTCCTCCTGCAGTGGGTAGCAGCTTCTTCCTTTTACATCAGCTCTTCTTGGATCYTTAGCTCTGCAGCAGGTTTTTATAGATGTGTGAGGATCAGCTCCATTGGTAATGTGGAACCAATCCCCGTACGGGCCACCAAGAATCTGTAACAGACCCAGGATCTGAGCCTGTTGTGCAGATTAAATGTTCCTGTAAAAACAGGAAAATGATGAGACAGACGATTTCTGAAGTTTCTCAATGCCTAGCTTCTGCCGTATTGGAGGTAAGGCCTGTGACCTCARTATATTGTCTCACAGAACAATGTGCCATCTTGTGGCATGGGGGTGTAACTACAGCTTAAATAAAGTAATTCCCAAAGTGACTTTTTCTTTCTTTTAAACAAACAAAATTACTTAATGTGATTACACATTAGTGTGTCACAATGTCACAAGCCATATGACAACCCACTGCAACCTGCGTTCAGCCCCTCACCTAGCAACCCCTGGTGAGGCTCCTCCCACTTCAGTATAAAAGGCTGTCATGGTTGTTGTGCAGCTCATTTCACAACAGAATCCTTTCAAAACTACCAACAGTACATGACCGGATTTGCACAAAAACTTCTGCTTAAGGAAGTTCCATCTATTCGACAACGTTCTGCGGATGACGTTAATGTAAGTACAGACTGATGTTGACAATTTGGGTTTTCAGTGATCATAAAAACATAATGATTGATCAGTTTACGTCGGGCCATATAATTTCTGTGATGCGAAAAATGCGGAGAGAATCCAGTCATGGAATCCAGTGTAAAATGCGGAATATCACAGAGGTCACTTATTTGTTTGAGTTTCTGAGGTATTTTGATCGCTGCTGCTCCCGTTACCTGCCCTGGTAACAGGCATGCAGAGTGAGCTCCGAGCTCCCGTCCTGACACAGGAGGAGGGGGAGAGAAAAAAAGCTGCGACCGCGACTCTCATGGCGAACAACAAACT